GCAAGGGATATCTGTTGAAGGTGACAAAATGAGTTAATTCAGTAAATTCATAGTTGTAATATGTTACCATACTTTCATTTAATATATATCTGTATGTAACACATTCATGTGTTATTCATTTAATGCATACAAAGTGTCATATTTGGCACTGCTAAACTGGGTGATAAATGTCTGTTGCGTTGTTTAATAATAAAATAAACTTAATTATGAAATATTAGATGTGTATTTTATCTTATTTAACCATTGCACTTTATACCCGCCAACAAGCAAGTATAAATCACACCTGGGACTAATTAAACTCAATCAAAATGCTGAAGCGTCAAATAATTTTATTTTGTTTATTTCAGTCAAGCTAAGTACTGGAGTGCTGTGCATTGACTGCTGGGTGAATTTCCTTCACTTGCTGTGAAGTGATGTATCGATGTACTCTTATTCTCTATGCCCTTTGAACTGAACATGTTCGCTCCCTTCAGACTGGAATCGCACTTAAGATGATGGATTATATGTGAAGTCCCCTTTGCAGTTCACTTTCGGTCGAATGGAACGCACTTTAAGTGATAGAGGTTTAGAACGACATGAGGGTGACTAATGTTTTTTTTTTTTCTGATATCACTTTAGTGAAATACAGTCTTTATATATTTTTAAATTCTACTTTATTTTATCAGCTTTCAATATGGAATTTATTCTCAGTAAGCAGATATCATTAAACAGATCAAATTAAAATACTGGCATTATCTACTCATCCTCATGTCAGTCCAAACCTCTATGACTTACTTTCTTATGTGGAACACTAACAGTGTTGAAAAGGTTACTTTGGAAATGTTATAGGTTACAGATTACAAGTTACCCTGTCTAAAATGTAACAAGTAGTGTAACTATTTAAATTACTCTATTAATGTAACTGATTACATTTGATTACTTTTTGATCACTTTTCTAAATTTCTAATGTTTTCAACTGTTAATCATTTTCAGACATGTAAATCTGGCTGGGTTCGCCTTACAGTAGAACTCAAGACTTCTTCACTTGAATTAAGATTATAATAATTTAATTTTAAAGCACAGCCACCACAAAATCAGACTTTAGCACTTTGTTTGACTTTGAGATCATTCTGAGGTTAAATACAGGTTTCAGATCATAACAAGAAATAGTTTAATAGCTATGATGCTGATATTGAAATTAAATAGTTGCTTAGTTTTAACAGAAAACACTGGCAAAAAAACAGTTAATCTTAAAAAATATGCATAAACCCAAATAGGAAATAAAACAGTTATCGAACAATCATGTGTCGATAACTGTGTCCCAAACTCCTGAAATATTGGTGTCTCATATTTTAGAGCAGTCAATGCAATTTATGAAAGAAATCCACTAAATCTGTTTGTGCATGTGTGTGAAAAATTCAGATGTAACCCCAGTAATCATTAACATTTTCATAAGTAATTTAATTACACATTTTTTTCTCAGTAACTGATTACAGTTACATTTATTTCGTAATTAAATTATGTAATTTAGTTACATGTAACTAGTTACTTCCCAACACTGAACACCAAAGATGTTTTGAAAAAAATTGGTAACCAAACAGTTTAGTTGCACAGCAGAAAGTAAGTCAGACATGGCTCATTTTGAGTGACTGTCAGGCGTCTGAAAGCAAGTTTTGAAGCGAGTAACTTCAAATGCTTCAGTCCGATTTGGTAAATTGAATCAAATAGTTCACTAAAAAGAATCAGTTCAAAAGAATGATTTGCTCGTGAACCGGACATCACTCCGGACCGTTTGTCTGAGACTCTGCATTACAGGTAATAATGTTCAGTTTCTTGCACAGACCGATTGTTTCACTTCATAAGACCTCAATATATCATCAGGAGCCACAGGGATTCATTTTGTGTTCCTTGATATGCTTTTTTTTTTACTTTCAAAGTGGCAATAGCCATTGACTTGAATTTATAGAACCACCAACAACCATGATTTCAGCTAAAAATCTTCTGTACTCTTCTACTGAAGAAAAAAAGCCACATCTTGAATGGCCTAAGAGTGAGTAAATTTACATTTTTGGGTGAACTGTCCCTTTAAGAGTGCTGAGGGGACTCTGTCGCCCGAGGCATCAGATGCAGCCTTAATGAGCAGAAGAGACTTCTTTAAAAAACATTACAAGTCTTACTGATCCCAAACTTTTGACCGGTAGTCTTATCTTGGTTATCAATCATTTGGATTCTTATCAGTCTAGAAAGGATTTTTAAATACTTTTCAGTAACAGAACTGTGGTGCAAAAACAAGTAGTAGTGCAGCAGTGGGGTTATATTTGTGTATGGAATCTGTCATGGAGAACTGGGGCGTGTGTGTGTGTGTGTGTGTGTGTGTGTGTTCAGGTGTGTTTAGCATGTGTTTGCTCATGCTGCCGTGTGAATGTGCACATGCAGGACAGTGTGAGTCACAGCTGGTTCTTCCATCGGCTTTTAAATCAGAGGGAGGTTTGGTCCTTTAATGCCTGAGAGTAACTTTATCAAGTGTGCTGGTTATTTTTGGCAGAAGGCGATTGGCAGTTTTAAGAGTTCCCTCGCAGGTCACCGCTGGAGAAGCACGGAGAGATAAATATGGGGCTAGAAACCGTCATCCTCTGGCCACGCTGATAAACACATCCAAAGCACTCCCGAAACAATCCCCGGATAAAATCAGGGGCATTTTATCGCAGGAGGCAATGCTCAAAAATAAATAACTGACGGTACAGAATTAAGATGAGAAATTTTACAAAATATGAGCATAAAGCTGGTTTTTATAAACTGTGCTCTTAAAAATAAAGGTGCTTAAAAGGTTCTTCACAGCAATGCCACTAATGATTTTTGGCATAAAAGAAAAATCTATAATTTTGACCCATACAATGTATTGTTAGCTATTGCTACAAATACTGTATACCCGTGCTACTTAAGACTGCTTTTGTGCTCCAGGGTCACATAATTGGTTCCACAAAGAACCATTCAGTCAAAGACCATCTCTTTCTTACCTTTTTATAATCTGAAAAACATTCTTTCGCCACAAAGAAACAGAAAGGTTCTTCAGATGTTAAAGGTTCTTTATGGAACCATTTAGACAAACAGGTTCTTCTATGGCATCGTGAAGCACCTTTATTTTTAAGAGTGTAATAGTGTTCGGCAGTGACATGATGCTTCACTGTGATTGGCTGATTAGCCTGTCAGTGGGACAATAACAGCCTATCACGATCGCAGCTCCTCAACATAATGTGTCAAACGGATGGGCTAATTACAGAGCAAACATCTCACATACTCGGACATCATCACTTGTGGTCACATCCGAATCGAAATGAACTTGTAATGACTCGAAACACAGAGTGATTTGTGAGCGAGGAGGTTTTTAGTGAGCACGCAGCTGGGTTAAATTAAAAGGTGCATCTGCAAGCCTGCCACCACCTGCAGTGTTTAACGAGGATTTGTTGACTAATGATCTGAAAGATGGCAAGTGTTAATAAAAGCAGCTCAATAAGAGTTAGTAGTAACTAATCAAAGAGACAATATATGTTCTTGATACTGTATTATTAGTTCTTATTTTATAAGCTTGATGAGGCTTTGATCATGTGACTTGGGACTAAAAATGATTAAATAAACATAACTTGCTTCATCTAAATTAATGAATGAATTCAAATAAATGTTTTTATTTTTATTTCAATTAATTACAATTTTAAGTTATCATTTACATTTAAATTAATCTTATTTACATTTAAAATGTAATTTATTAATCTGCAAGCATGTGTGAAATTCATCAAAAGTGACCGTAGTTACCAAATGTTTGTTTATTTAAAGAATACTGAAAAATAAATTTCACAGTTTCCACAAAAATATTAAGCAGCACAACTGTTTTCAACATCGATTATAATAAGAAATATTTCTTAAACAGCATGTGAAAATATTTTTTAAATGTGTAGAAAATAGTTATTTTATAGTAAAATAACATTTTATAATATTACTGTTTTTCTGTATTTCTGATCAAATAAACACATTATTGGTGAGCAGACATTTCTTTTAAATACATAAAAAAGACCTCAACATATTCAAAGTATATATCAGATGGAAAGGGCTCCTTAAAGTAACGCTCACAGGTTACCACTTTTTACAGTGTGATTTTAAATATTAATATTAAATACTTAAATATTAATCACAGTTTAGTTTAAATATTAATGTCAGTCTTATTAATATTAAATATTGGTGTAAACATCTAAAAATATTATAGTGTTGGTTGCATGTTCGTAGTGTAAAGTACATGCCCATATTTCTTTAAATACCTGGAAACATCAAATTGAACATAAAATTAAAACCCAAATACATTTAGTCATTTAGCAGATGTTTTATCCAAAGTGACTTACAAATGAGGACAATGGAAGCAATCAAAATCAACAAAAGAGCAATGATATACAAGTGCTGTAACAAGTCTCAGCTTAATAACTTTTTTCCCCCTCAGTATCACTTTCCTGTGTCTTTTGTAATAGAATGACCCACTTAGGCCCTGCTGGTATATTTACATTTATATTTATTCATTTAGCAGATGTTTTATCCAAAGCGACTTACAAATGAGGACAATGGGAGCAATCAAAATCAACAAAAGAGCAATGATATACAAGTGCTGTAACAAGTCTCAGTTAGTTTAACGCAGCACACGTAGCAAGGGTTTTTTCAATTATATAATAAATAAAAAGAAAACAGACAGATAGAATACAAAAAGATTAGAGAAGCTACTGTCAGTTTTTTTTTAAAGAAAACAAGCAGTTAGTAAATGGATAGAGTGCAAGTCTAAATGGGACCAGTTTTTTTTTTTAAAGAATAGAATTAGAATAGAGAGTGCTAGAGTTAGAGGGTCAAATAAAGATGGAAGAGATGTGGAAAATACAGAGAGAGAACAAAGAGAGGTACTTTTTTTTTAATCTGTGGGAAGAATGTTGTATTTTCTCAGTAGCCTTCATGATCTCATCTTCTCCAAACTTTCCTCTTATTTTTAGGACTACACCCTGACCATGTATTTCCAGCAGGCTTGGCGAGACAAGCGCTTGTCGTACACAGAGATCCCTCTGAATCTAACCTTGGATAACCGCGTGGCTGACCAGCTGTGGGTGCCCGACACCTACTTCCTCAACGATAAGAAATCCTTCGTTCACGGAGTGACAGTCAAGAACCGAATGATACGCCTGCATCCCGACGGCACTGTGCTCTACGGATTAAGGTACGTCTTTTGAGGTCATCGCCATTGTCGTTATCGACCCGTAATCACGTTTGACTCCTCTCATCATTCTGTCCGTGCAAACTATTTTCAAACCACCCACATAACGCGTTCACGACGTGTTCAGAGGCCTGTTTTTATTTTCTCTGGCTGCTGATGCATTATGCCGGTGTACATGACTCAACATCGCTGTCTATGTTTAGAAGGGATGAAATTGTTGTTGCTAATTCCAAAGCTGCGCATTGTGCTTGCCGTTCCTTAGCCTGACAGCAGTGTCCTTATCAGAAGAGTGCTTAAAAATTAAAAATCTGCATTGCAGCAGATAATTCACTGCTAATAAGGCGACCAAAATCAATCAATATCATTTATAACGCTTCATTATGTAAGTGCCCAATTACATAAGCTATTTTTACATAACCCAAAAGGGGAAACTGCGTGCAGAAACACTAAATGCACATGAGGAAACATTGATGGGAATGTGTGAGAGTGCCGTGACCTGGCCTGCAGAACATTGCTTTCGGGACTGCCATCGCGCTATTTTGTCAATGGAGACCTTCGCATGTGAGACAGCATGTGTGTGTGTGTGTGTGTGTGTGTGTGAGCATGTGTTGAGGAGGCAGTAATAGAGCGTTCTCTTTTGTGACATCTGAAATTTAGTGTGAATCTGTGCTCTGTTGCAGTTTGACACAAAAGAGTGTTGGAAGATGGGCTTTCTGGGTTTGTGAATGCGTATGGGAATGTGTGTTTGTGATGAGTTGGGGTGTGTTGTCCGTGTTCCTTGGGTGCCCTGCTCCCCTAAGCCTGCCAAAGCATGTTCCTCAATTACCAGGAGAAGAAGAAAATAACAGCACTCTTCTATAGCTGTCTGTGAGAGCCCAGTCTGACAATTTAGCACAGGCAGGTAGATCTGATTATCTTGCTCCTAAAAGACTTCAACTAATAACACGGACGCTGGCCAGAAGATGAAAATACACAGGCTTAAATACAGTGTCTGAGTCATAATACAACAAGTGAATCATGCTATGGCTTAGCAGTCTGTGTCGTCCTTGTTTTAATGGACTAATGTCAAAACATTTTCTATTATTATACCAAAGACATTTTCATATTCATTTAGTTTCAAATTCAAATTTCAATGGTTGGAGCTTTTAAAGATACAAGAAACTTTCTTTGATGCATAGTGTGCATGTTGATTTTGAGCACTCTAAAATCAACTCTAAAGTAACTGATTCATATTGCTACTTATTCTAGACAAGAGTCAACCACTTAAACAAAGGACTGTCAGACTGACATGCAAAGTCATACCTATTTAATTTTTATTTATTTTTTTAGATATATTTTATTTGCTAATGAATGCTTCAAACAAAAATGTAGTATCATTCAACCCTTATGAAAATGAACCATGGTTGTACTACCATAAGAAACTTGGTTATTGTAGTTAAACCATGGTAACCACAAATGAACTATGGTTTTACTACACAAACCATAGTTTAACCATATTATTTGTAGTAAAACTTGCCAGATCAAAAAAGTGCCTTCTGCTTTTGTGTGCAATGTGTATAAAGAAATCTTTACTATCTTAGGCTGAGACTAGTGTCCGACTCATTTGTCTAAATGTAAACAAAATGTCATCTGTCTGAATTAAACCAACATTTCACGTATAGTTTTAGCTGTGATCAGCTTATTGTGATGTGATGTATCACATTCACAGCATTTTAGCACACAGCATAACTCAGTAAGCACACATTATGAGGTGTTCAACAAGGCTATGTACTAGGCCCAATTAAAAAGTGTTAAAGTGCAGTTATGGCCACTTCTGTCTAAATGCAGTTGACTAATTTAGGAAATAATAGACTTAAGCAAATCAAAATTACTAGACATAGTGACTGAGAGAAGAAGACGTCTTCTGTTTACCCTCTCATTTACAGTGGATGAGCCACACAATAAAACGGAGACATGATCATTAATTCTCATTTACAGAAAAGGTTGCCTATTATATGGAGATGAAGTGCATTGGCTGGTGCTATTTTTTCCAGCAACTTGAAGATGTCTAAGGGCAGAATAGGACAGCTTATATTTATAGCTGGCGTTATTGTATTTTGTATAATCACACATTCCTGTGCTATCTATCTGTGTAAAGGTAGGTGAATATACCAGTGGCAACAGGGAAACTCAGATAGGAGAGGCATTTCTGAAGTGGTGGCAAAATTCAATACCATGTCCTTCTCTCACACATTTAAGTCTGATACTATTAATGGTGGCTTAGCAGGATCACACAAATATATATATATTAAAGTAATATAAAAGTAAATGCTCTGATCTTTATGTGACACATGCTTTCTCTGCCTCTGTTTTTTTTTTTTATTCTGCAAATTTATGTTTTTAAAAACACTTTGGTGGTTAAATTCAACATGAACTCTAAATTGGCTTGATTTCATTTACTGTTTTTTGCATTTGGCACACACTTTTATCCAAAGCAAGTTATACACATTATATCAGTTCATGCCTTCCATGGAAACTGAGCAAATGACCTTGGTGTTTTTAATGCTATGCTTTATACTTTTTTAATGCACATTCCTAGTGGGTATGTGCACATTGATTTAATTTTCATTTTTTATTTAATTTGAGAAATGTTGCATTTGGCACATGCTTTTATTTACATTCCTTTCAAAGTACGCATTTTATTAGTTCATTCATTCCCTGGGAAACAAACCCATGACTTTGGTGCTTTTAATGCTATGCTTTTCAGAAACACTTTCTTGATGCACATTCCTAGTCTGTATGTGCACATGTGGTCACACCAGATACTGACTGGTTTTCGGACCCACCCGGACCCCACAAAAAAAACAAAAGTGTTGCATTTATAATTTTGTTCAGTGTATGTATGTGCACTCAAATGACTTTCCACATCTGATGATGTCACTAAGCCAATTTTCATATAGAGACCATTTTTCACCATCGAAACAGTTGCTATACTTTTAACTGTCTGTTGTTTGCATGATGGTCAAAAATGACAGATTTTTTTATTTCAATGAAATGAATGTACTATATTTTAGTTAAATTTTTATTTAATGTTTTGTATTTTAAGCGGAATTGATGGTACTAATTTATATTTATGGAATAGTTGTAATCCATTTATTACCTGTTTTTCAGCATAAACATGATAATGGAATTTCCAACTTAAACTAGTGTAAATCTTGCTGATTTATCTTGTTAAAGGATTATACTTGGATAATACAGATAATTATTGAAGTGAAAAAAAAAAAAAATATTAGTTTGAGTTTATTATTATGAAAAAGGCACAAAAATTGTAACATTTTACATGAAATATATATTTTCAAAAATATGTTTTACTCTAAACCTGTATGAAAGTGAAGTCCATACATCTAAGGAAGTTAAGTTCCAAATTTGAGGTTGATATCTCAAAAAATAAGCTTCCAGTAAGATTTTGTTTGGATGCAGTACCAAACATTTCCACTAGTTGAGATTCGCTTCCCAATCATTTCCAAAGCGATAATTTTTGACCTGTGACTATTTTTTGCACGACCATTGAATCTTTTTGAATCATGTCCATGACTCTTTGTGTGTGTGTGTGTGTGTGTGTGTGTTCACAAGGCAAGTGCCAAAACCTTTTCCCAAAAAAAGTTTCATACCACTCAGATGACAAAAAAACAACATTTTTCTGTCAAGAATGACCGAACAACACCAAGAGGGTTGAAAAAAAAAACAATCTAGTTAAGTGTGCGAAATCTTTGATCCAATTCAGAACTACCATATTGGCTGCTGTGTTTTTCAGCTCGTCCTCTCGCCACCCTCATAATGTAATTCAGTCAGACCCCTGCGTGGTGTGTTGCAGCACAAGCCTTAGTAAACAAGGTCGTTTGAAATAAAGGTACACATGCTGCCTTGGGGTCTGTACCCAACCCTTACATGAACCTGTGCGGTGCGCGGGGAAACCGTAGCGCTGCGGCCCGCCGGTGATAGATGGGTAGATGAAGTCTAGTGTGCTGGTAAAAAGAACGCTCTTGAATGCATGTGGATGAGAAGATCTCGGCGTTGGTGGGTTTCAATGCAGGGAAGTAGCAGTCTAACGGCACTGGAGAGTAAACAGCTCTGACTTTTATTCCTCAGACCCTTTTCAAGCTGATACAAGCTGCCAGAGGCGTTAAGCGGCACTAAACCGGTGGGGGTCAGGCCTAGCTTCCTTCTGCTCTTAATATATTGAGCCAAGCCCTCTTCAAGCGGATACAAATCAAGCAGTAAGCAGCAGGTCACAGTGAGACGGAGAGCAGAGAAATGGAGAGATGAGTAAGAGAGACTGGGGGCAAAATCTTTTTTACGTTTTTCTTCCTAACTCACAGACTGCTACAAATATACCTACCGTCTTTCAGTAAACTAAACGTGTCTTTGGCAATAAATAACTTATAATGAGAAAGACTAGATCGTAATATCATATTTAATAGGAATCAGAGTGTTTGCAATGGTTGGGGGCAATTATAACACCTGACAAAGAAATCATATTAGCCCACTCTGACAAAAAATCACATCCAGGTATATATAATGTCATTGCTTTAATATGTTTATTTTTTTTGTCCTTTATATCATATTAATTATTTTGTCTGTCAGATATAATGTGTGCTTAAAGGAAAAGTCTAGTAGCACCTATTATAATTGTATGAAGCAAGTCCACAACGAGACAAAATAATTGATGAAATAACGTTAATTATTACAAGTTTTAATTCAAAAGCATTCAAACTTCAAACAGAAATGACATATTATATATTTTCTTCAAACAGAATATATATAATATTATATATATTATAATAATATATATGTTTGAAAGAAGTCTCTTCTGCTCACCAGGACTGCATATTTGATCAACATTACAGTAAAAACAGTGAAATATTATTACAATTTAAAAATAATGAATTTTTAGCATCATTACTCCAGTCTTCAGTGTCACATGATCTTCAGAAATCATTCTAATATGCTGATTTGCTGCTCAACAAACATTTCTGATTATCATCAATGTTGAAAAAAGTTGTGCAGCCAAATATTTTTGTGGAAACCGTGATACATTTTATTTTTCAGGATTCACAGATGAATAGAACGTTCAAAAGAACAGCATTTATTTGAAATAGAAATCTTTTGCAACATTATAAATGTCTTTACTGTCACTTTTGATCGATTTAATGCATTCTTGGTGAATAAAAGCATTAATTTCTTTCAAAAATAATCTTACTGACCCCAGACTTTTGAACAGTAGTGTCTAATCAGTTGTTCTTAGACAGATGGAAAACAGATGCCAGCATAGAGAAAAAGAGATGTATTGTGTGATGGAAGATGGAAAGAGAAGGAGAAGATGAAAGGGGGTTCAGAGATGAGAGAGATTGAGAAAGGGTTAACAATGTTAAGAGAGCGAGAAGGAGGGATGGACGAATGGAAAGAGACCAACTCCACCTCGAACTGTCCTCAGCTTTCCAACGACTCTCTCATCTATCCATCTCTTAGACACTCAAATGCACTGAGACTTTTGCTGATGATGTAGCAACCTATAAATAGCCTGTAATTTTTACCTCTGCCATCTTGGCCTAATTTCCTGATTTCCCAGAGCTCCCAGTTCTTCCAGCGCTTCCTGTGGAATTGTGATTGTGGGACGGTGCAGAGGAACCTCGGGAGTATTGATGTTTTTGGCATGCTGATTTATGACCGGGAACCAAGAGAGAGATGAGGATTGCTGACAAGCTAGAACTGTATACGGAAAAAATGCAACCCAAGTTTAATTGCTGCTTTACATCAAATCAAAAAGAGCAGAATTTATTGAAACATTTTTTTTTTTTTGTATTTCCTTGAAACATTACTTTCTTTGCTATTCCTTGATGAATAAATGTATTAATTTCTTTCACAAAAGACAAACTTACTGACCCCAAATGGTGAACAAAAAAGATGAGCCTTGTTCTCGCTATACTGACAAACCATAACTCGTGTATACGGTAAAAACTGCAAAAATTTAAACCAGTTTCATAAGTGCTGCTTTAAATCAAATCAAAGTTAGTGACAAGTTCATGACTTTTTAATGTTAACTAAATAATCATGATGGAAATTGACTGATGCTAATTCACAAAATCAAGTAGAAATATACAATGATTTATTAAAATTCCAGTGGTTTAGATTTATATTTATAATGCTTTATTATATTGAAGTTATTTTTAATTCAGGATATTTATATATAAATAAAATAATATGTATCTCGGTTGTTTTCCACATTGATAATAATCAGAAATCTTTCTTGAGCAGCAAATCAGTATATTAGAATGATTTCTGAAGATCATGTGACACTGAAGACTGGAGAAATTATGCTGAAAATTCAGCTTTGATCACAGAAATATATTACATTTTAAAATAGATTCACATAGAAAACTGTTATTTTAAATTATTATATTTCACAACACTGAAGACTGGAGAAATTATGCTGAAAATTCAGCTTTGATCACAGAAATACATTACATTTTAAAATAGATTCACATAGAAAACTGTTATTTTAAATGATTATATTTCACAATTTTACTCTTTTTACTGTATTTTTGAGTATAAGGGTCTTCTTTCAAAAAGTAAAAACATATAAATTGCTTGTTTTTTGTTTTTTTGAGCGTCATTTTTACAGACAGTTTGGTTCAGGTTGAAAACTGAAAAAGAAAAGAAAGAAAAGAAAAGAAAAAGAAGTGAAGTTGCACTCATGTCCGTTGGAGAATTCAAGTAAAAGGATTTTGAATTGAGTTGTGTACTGACTTATTAAAGCTAAGCAGTTCTTTTAGATTAAGTGCTAACAACCCACATGAAGTCCAGAGACATCTATTAAACTGTAGTTTTCATTTACTGTGAAAATAGCTTCGCTGCTGCAGTTGGGTCAGACCCAAAGGACAGACAGTTTTCAGGTCTTCAGGTAATAATCTTGGTTGTCCACTCAAGTGTCAAGATTAATACTTGCTCATTTATTTACCTTTGGCAGACACTTTCATCAAAACAACTTGCTTTGCATTGAAGGTGTACAATTTATATTCATGCATTTCCTGGGAATCAAACCCGTTGACCTTGCTGTTCTCTACTGTTTGAGCAACAGGAATATAGTTTAAAGGGGTCCTATTATGCTCTTTTACAAAGTCATTGTAACCACTCTAAGTTCGTCTATCTTGGGAAAGCTAGCGTGTCTCCGACATAGTGATAACACTCGTTGCCTTGTCTAGTGCAGCTCAACCAGGTCTCGTCCCATTCGTCGATATTTGTGATATCACAAATCCCGGAAAATATGCGTTGTAGTCCAAACGAGTCGTTCGTTGTAGTTTTTGAAAAGTGATTTCTGTTAAATAAAATATCTCCTTTTGAAGTGGACTTTGAGCTTCGTAACTTTGAAGATCTTTTTTTATGCTCAAACAGCAACATTACAGACTAACTAAAGTTGAAAAGGTGAAAAAAGCATAATAGGACCCCTTTAAAGAATTGATTTAATAGAATTTCTCAATTTTATTGAAAAGCAGAAATCATGTATAGAATGGTAAGATCCATCCAGACAGACGTGTGAGCAGCAGTGTGGATGTGAGGGAGGAGGGCCTCGTCTCTGGTGTAATCCCCACAGTCCCCTGTCTCTGCTCTGCATTCAGGATCACCACCACCGCGGCCTGTATGATGGACCTGCGGCGATACCCGCTGGATGAGCAGAACTGCACGCTGGAGATCGAGAGCTGTGAGTGATTCTCAGATTCACACCATCTGTCTAGACGTCAAATGATAGTATTTTTAGGACAGATATTTCTAATAATTATTTTTATGTTGAACTGATAACCAGATTTTAAAAATCTTTATTTTGTTGTTGTTTTTTTATATAAAAGCATAAAATTATTAAATTATTACATGTAGTATTATTATTATGAATAATAAAAGCAATAAAGTACATCATATGTAATGTATAATATGTAATGATAATAATATTAATTTATAAACAGTATATTATTATGAAATATGTAATAGTTATTATTATTATTATTATAATTGTTGTTGATGTTGTTATTATTTTCAGAATGCAGAACATAATATTATTAAAAACAATAGAATATGTAATAAAAATAATAATTTATATTATATTTTTGTTGTTTTTAATATTTTTTATGTATGCCACAAATATAATAGTATTAATAATAATAATAATAATAATAATAATAATGATGATGATTATGGTGATGATGATAATAATTATTATGATTATTTACTATCTAACAGTATGGAGAATTATTTTTATTGTACTTTATTTTGTTTTTTAAATCATAAAATACTGAACATATTATTTAAAAAATAAAATATGTAATAGTAATAATAATAATTTTTATTATCATGGTATTTTTTTGTTTTGAATTTTTTGATATCTGTCCCATAAATATAATAGCATTAATAATAATGATAATGATAATGATAATAATAATAATAATGATAACAATAATAATAATAATAATATGGTCACACATGTAATTTCATGTTTATGTTACACTGTAACTAAAATGCTGCACATTTTGCATTTGAGAGTGAATGGCTGTGCAGTAAACAGCTGAATAATTCATGCAAGCAGTGCTTTAAGAGAGTCACTCCACCTGTGAACCCTCTTGTTGCTTGTTGAACACACAGTGCTTTAATGGTGTTTTTGGAGTCTGTTCTGTAGAAACCTGATATTATACAACCGGTTAAATAGTAAAGTACGCTAAAAACAGGCTGAAGCGATTATGGGTTATGTGTTACCCAGACGCGTCTGATGATCTGTTTTTCAGCTGTGCCATGACAGCAGTGCTAAATTATGCATTTACAGCCATAACAACAGCTAATCATCTCCCTCTTTATCAAGATGAATGGGCTTTCTATTTTGTCATTATTACCTGTAATTGTGTGTAACACAATTTCTCTTGTAATACCGGTAAAACTGAAAGACACAGGAGAAGAATGCGAGGTCTTCTCAGTCCCTGGAGTGCTGGATTACAGCGCTGTGATGTGATGCTACGGCGCAGGCTTCTCGTTTCATCATTAAGTTGCCAGAAGCATTAAGCAGCACAGAAACACTACCAGCTATCAATACACTGCGCTGTTTTCTCCTTCTGTCTCCTTCTCTCGCTCCAGCCCTCCTTTCCCTTCTTCTACTCATTCGCTCTCAGGGTTATTATAGTTAACTAAAACTAAAACCATAAAAAGCATTTCCGCTTCTTGAAATTGCGGCTTATTTTATTTCATCAAGTTGCTAATGCAGCATTTCTCATTTGCAATTAGTTTAACTTGATATACTGAAATAACAAAAACTAAAATAAAAGTAGATAAAAAGCATAGACTTATTAAAAAACGAATAAAACGAATAAATACAAATTAAATAATAAATAACAACTAATAAAAAGTTACAAAATAAACAAATTCAAAATATTAATAAAAACTATAATGGTATCTCAGTGATATTAAAATAACACTGTTCTCTTAAAGGTGTCGCAAAATTCTGAATTTAAAGAATGTCTCTTTTTTTTCATAAGTGTACATATACAATGAACAAAATTATAAATGCAACACTTTTGTTTTTGCCCCCATTTTTCATGAGCTGAACTCAAAGATCTAAGACTTTTTCTATGTACACAAAAGGCCTATTTCTCTCAAATATTGTTCACAAATCTGTCTAAATCTGTGTTAGTGAGCACTTCTCCTTTGCCGAGATAATCCATCCACCTCACAGGTGTGGCATATCAAGATGCTGATTAGACAGCATGATTATTGCACAGGTGT